ATCCAAATCTCTGCTCCCATGTCCCTGTCATACTGCCTCCCCACTTCCTCCCCTCTCCATGTGGTCTGCTTCTACCAGCCTACCCTACTCTCCCCTGTGGTTCCCTCCTCCCTCCCCATCCTCCACCCCTGCAATCCCTGCTACTTGGCCTGGCCTGGGAGGACTGCTCATGCTCGGACCTGGGGGCCCCCGAAGTGCTGGATTCTCGTGCAGCCCCGTCTCTCAGAGGCACCCATGCCCATACGCTGGGCACACACTCAGCTGCTGCCATCGGTCTATCAGATTCTCACCAGACCAGTTGGATGGGTTTAAACAAAGGAAGTATTCTTAACCACAGGGTCCTTTTTTTTTCCCAGGCACTTTCTGACTTGGGTTCTTACTGTTGGAACAAAGTCAGGTGTGCATTTAGATTCAAGGTCTGGTGGGGGCGGTCCAGAAACCGCAAGACTCCTCTGCAAGGGGACCCTCCCTTCCCACAGACGTGAGCACTTGCAAACCCTGGAGGTGTCGAGTCTGGAGGGCTCTGAGATCCAGGGCTCTCTGTCTTAGAGGGTCTGGGCCCTGCCCCCAGAACCTGAGGGCCTCATGCGTTGGAGGAGCTCTGGCCCTTCCTGCATTTGGCGGTTACCCTCTGAGAGTCTGCTTCCAGGAGTTTCCAGGAGCAGAAGGAGCCCTAACTGTCCCTGGGCAGAAGCAAATATCCGGAGGCCACTCCCTGCACCTCTCTGACACTTAGAAGCAGAATTTCATTCCGGGAAAGCGGCCGGTTTTGCTCTTGAGGCCTCCAGCAGACTGGATGAGGCCCCTCCGTTGTGAGCCTCCCAGACAGTCTCCCTGCACCCACATGGCCAATCTGGGCCTCACAGTTCAGCCTCACTGGTGTTTTGAATTACAAACCTAATCAGGGAGTCCCTCAACTTAAAAACCATTGTCCTTAAGACTAAAATCCGAACTGCTTACCATGGCCCAGGGCCCTGTAAGGCCTGGCCCCATTCTGACCTTCACCCCGCTCAAGTACAGCCACCTTAGCCCCTTAAAGTGCTTCCTCAAATAGCCCTGGCTTCCTCCTGCCCCAGGGCCTTTGCATATGCAGTCTGCTCTTCCTGGAATTCTCTCCCTGTGGGCCTCCCTCACCTTACACACATGCACAGACGTGCACACACACACGTAAACACAACACTTACTACACCCAGTTAACTTTTACCCATTTTTAATGGCCCATGTTCCTCCCCTTTAGAGCCCTTATCTTGGTATATAATTACACACACTCGTTTGGGCTATCAGGTGATTGATTTTGTCTCCCGCATCAGACTGAGCCTGGGAGGGCAGAGCTCATGCCTGTGTTTGCTCATCACGCATCCCGGGACCCCCGCTCAGTGCCTGGCACATACTCAGCAAATGAATGAGAGAGTCAGCTAAGCATTCTGGGAGCAAGGGTGGAGAACGCGACAGAGCAGTCCTCCTTCCAGAGACTGACCCTACAGAGATGAGCTGGGCTCACCAGCTGTCCACCCAAATCCATCCTCTCCTCTTGCTGGCCACACAACACGCCCAGCCTGCCTTGCATGGAGCTTTGACGTGTGACCAAGGTCTAGCCGGCGGGGCGCGAGCAGAGGCCACGACTGCCACTCCACAGCTTGGCCTTTCAGACCCTCCCAAGTGTGGACGTGGGACCATCACACAGCCATTAAAAGGATGAGCAGATCCATATTAACTAGCGTGGAAAATGTTCATGTCAAACTTAAGCGAAAAAAAGTTGATTATCAGGGGTGCCTGTGTGGCTCATTTGGTTAGGCGTCTGCCTTCGGCTCAGGTCATGATCTCTGGGTCCTGGGATCGAGCCCCGCATCGGGCTCCCTGCTCAGGAGGGAGTCTGCTTCTCCCTCTCCCTGTGCTACTCCCCGCCCCCACTCATGCTCTTTCTCTCTCTCTCTCTCAAATAAATAAATGAATAACATCTTTTTTAAAAAGCTGATATCAAACTACATAAACAGTGTGAACCTACACATCAAAAATCAGATTCAGCAATCTTGGGTATTTGTGCAGAAAGAGATTTCCGGAATCATGTCTACCATGGTGCTAACAGAAGTTATGACTTGGTGGGGGAATTCCGTGTGATGTTTGCGTTCTTCTTTGCATTTTTCTGGAGTTCTACAAGAGTTATAAATTGTTTTGATATTAAAAATAAAGCTCTCTCCCTGAAATAAAAATATCAGGGGCCTCCTGTCCTGCTGGGATGTGGCCGGCCCCTCCTAGGCCACTCCTGGCTCACCTCCCAGCTCCGAGCCCCGAAGAATGTGGGGTGTGCCCCACTGCTGGTAACATTCCCAGCTTGCCTCCCGGCTCGGCGGAGATGAGAGGAAAGTGATTACAGAGACGGACCCGTGGGTGTGTTCTTGGAGAATGGATGATTAAACCCATTACCCAATCCTCAGAGTTTGTTCAAAAGGAAGTATTTAGAGGTATTAACCACTATTCATCTTGCATTCGGTATTTAGCAAAAAGAAAAGGGGGTGTCATTTAAAGGGTACCCCAGTCCCAAGAGGGAAACCTGGCCCGGGGTCGTCGCTGTGCCGGAAGCTCCAGGCATCTTGTTCTGGGCTCGGCTCTTGGGATGAGAGCAACCAGCCCACAGGGCTTGGCCCTGTAAGGAACAAAGACACACAGCAAATAGGCGCCCTCCAGGCTGGGGACATGACCGCATGATTGACAAGGACTCCACTCAGCAGGAGCCCAAGAGCACATCCCCTACAGAGAAAGTGGGGATTGTCATACCTGAGCCCCATGAAGAGGCCGCCCAAGACCCTATCTACTCCCCCAGGGCAGGCACCCCCGAAGTGTGAGGCGGCCCTCCTGGTTCCTGGCGTCTGTGTGCACACGTGCTCTCTGGCCACCTCCACGTGCCAGGAGCTGCACCTGGGGATGAGCCCCAGGGGCCCCCTGCCCCCCTAGACTCGCACACCTGCTTCCCAGCTGGCCTCGGCTGCCCCGGCCTCCCCAGACCCCACGGATGACCTGCGCTTATCCCAACAGGTCAGAACTTTTCGAGCATCTTTCCTTTTCTGTGGGGCAAGGTCCAAATGTCCTGCTAAACGGACAGCATCCTGAGCAAGGTGCTCATGTGTCCTCCGCCTTTGTGGTCCTTTGCCGGGCACGATGCCCTCGTGTCCTGGATGATGGCAGGATTTGGCGGGTTCACGGCACTGCCTTCCTGTGGCATTTGTGGGCTCACTGGGCCATGCCGCCCCCTCCCCCCCAGCCACAGCACCCCAGCTCCCTGCAGGTCCCAGGTCCCAGAGCTCCGAGCTGTCCCCTGGCTCTAGGAGTGCCTGTAGCCAAGCCTGGCCAGATGGGCATTGCAGTCCCCCGCCAAGCTGGTTGACTCAGGGCTGATCAGAGGACCCACCCAGAGGTGGAAATAAGGCAGGGCCAGGACTTCTGAGAGAGAGGAAGAGAGAGAGAGACCAGGCACATGGGATCTCTTCTCTGCAGACTCTGAGCCTGGGAGAGGTGAGGTAGAAGTCTGTCTCTCGACGAGGCCGACACACACACAGAGGACGCACAGCCAGGAGACGGTGGGAAGGAAACTGGTCCTGAGGCAGGACCGAGCCACCCCTGTGGGGACCCATCAACCCTATGGCTGGTGATCTCCTTTTTGCTTGAGTCTCACTTTGGGTCAGGCACCCATCACTTGCAACAGAAAGGGTCAACACGGATGTGTCTCCGTGCAAGGCTGTGGCCACACCAGCGTCCCCAAGCCCTTCCCCACCACCACTATCCCCCTGCCGAGGGATGCTGTCCCGGGCCCTAGGTGAGGGGCCCAGTGACCCACGCAGTAGGCAGCTGTATGTTCACCTGAAGGGCGCACGCATCAAGGCCAATTAGTGCAGGGAAGTCGGTGCCCGACCCCCATCACCGAGGGCTCCCTTCTTGCCCAGGCACATCCTGCAGGTCCCCCCACCGAAGACTTTGCTTGCGGGTCCCTTGGCCTGGAAGACCCTTCAATGCTCTCCCTTCTTTGCTGGTGAGAGTCCCATCCCTCCTTCAAAGGCCAGCCCCATGTTTCTTGCTGCGCAGTGGACCAGCCCCCCTCCCTCCACCCCAGTGCACCGCCGGGGCCTCCGTCCATTCCGTCTTAGGCGGCAATCCTGTACAGATGCACCTGGCCTCCCGACTTCTCCTGGCAGCCCTCCCGCGCTGGCTGGGTGCCCCTCGGCTGTGTCCGCGCCCCTATGGCTCCCTCCCAGGTGGGCGGTCGGGCAGCTCCAGCGCTGGCTGGACACACACTCTGCGTCAGATGCTCCCCGCACCTCCCGTGTGCCCAGCCCTGGGGCACGGATGGGGCAGGGCAGCCCTAGGCCTTCAGGAGCCTCCAGATCCCGCAGCACCCCGCAAAACGGTCATTAAAAGGCAGCGAAACATCCGTGACAGGGCTCAGGAGGTGAGATCTAGTGCATGGACATTGATTACTCGGTAGGGCAATTGTGGGGATTAAGTCCTGCACGTCAACCGTGGGGACCGCGGCTCCTAGCGAGCGCTCAGCAAAGTCCTTGCGATCAACAAGTATCATCCAAATACCTACCCTGAGCTGACATCCTGTTGGCCTTTTAAGCCTACACGTGCTCTCCAGAGATGGGTTTATTATTCTCACTGGGTGTAAATGTGGCCAAACGAGAGGCCACGGATCGTGACCAACTTCCTAACACCAGTCCCCAGGGGAAGGACAAGCACCACCGACTTGGCGCTGTCATGAAGCCCTTCCTGGCCAGACACACACAGCAGAGCCCTCTGCGAAGCCACCTGTGTTGGGGGACACTCCCACGGTTCTCAACCCTCGAAACAACGCGGGGCCTGGGCTCCGAGCCCGCTGTGGGCCTGGTGGCGCCCCCGCCGCCCACGGGAACACTCAGGGGTGCTGAGCGCTGACGCCGCAGACAGACGTGTGCCAGGGACCTCCCAGCCGGAATGCACACCCCCCGCCCCCAGAGATGCCCTCCTACCTCCAGCCGCGTCCGGTCCACATCCTTGGGCAGTTTGACGCGAATTCGGTTGGTGACAATGAGGGCGTCATAAGGATAGACCTGTGGGGAGGGGAGACCGCAGGTTGACCCCGGGAAGCAGGCGTGTGCCGGGACCAAAGGGCTGAGCCGAAGGCCAACGAGAGGTACATACTTGCGCCGGCATCGGACACACACATTTCATAGGAAACCACAACAAAAGGAACTTTTAACCTGGGCAGGTGCGTGGCGGCGGGCAGAGGTCGGCGTGGCAGTGGGCGGCCCCTCTTACCTTGTATTCTGTAAGAGAGAGAGCAGAAGCCACGCGTGGCAGTTTAGAAAGCGCGGGAACGCGGCCCAACGGCAGAAGCAGTCCTGTCCTGGGGACCCCCCACCCCACCCCCGGCGGCCTGCCCTGGGGCGCTAGTCCTTGGGCAGCTGATTGCCCAGGGGGACCCGAGAGCGGGAGGCATGGTCGGGAGGCTGGAGGCCAGACTGGGAGCCGGACGCAGCGCTGTGTTCCTCGGGCGTGATACTGTCTCCCTGGTGGTCCGGGCCGCCCTGAGAAAGCGGCCTGCCTCAGTTTACCCACCTGCGGATCAGACATTCCAGGGCAGTATTGGGGGCATTGCAGAGACTGACAGCCGCGCAGGGTCTGACCCCACGGCTCTTACTCTCTCACCTTCTTGGCCTGTAGTTCCTCCTTTATATTCCTGAGCCCCACATGCTTACTTTTCAAAAGGCTTTTCTGCCAGACTAAAATCGTCATGTCAGAAAATAGACCTGAATGGATCAGAGGGCCTCTGTGAGCATGTAGAACCCCCTAGAAAGCAGTACCCCTAGGACCTGGGCCACAAGCTGGCCTTGGGAGGGAGACCCTGGCAAGGGGCCTGGGTGACAGGGGCCGGTCCCCAAATTTCCCAGCGGGCCACACTCAACATCCTGATGACTTGGAGAGCCACGTGGAGGGAGCCAGCTCTGAGCCCCCAGTGCTCCACGGCCCAGCGTGAGCCAGCAGCCCATGAGAACATGCTCCCTGCCATCCAGGGTGACAGGGGTGAACGAACATCCCACGCAGGAGGGGCTCAGAGCTAGCAGAGCCCCCCCACCCCGGTCAGGCACCTGCCATGCGACCGGGGTCATGCCAGGAACACCAGCCTCCCGGCAAGCAACCTTCCTGGTTTGAAGCCCAGGAGGCCCGCGTGACCAGGAGGGGTGGGAGGCAGGATGGGACCCGAATTCATCTGACTCGGACCCCAGGGGCGTTATGTTGCCACGAAATGTAACCGTGGGTGATTGGGTTGGCCTCAGTCCTGGTACGGGATGGCTATTCCAACACATATCTCTCTCCCCAAGTGACCAGAGTGACCAACAAATCAGGACAGGGTCAGCTGTTCTCAAGGATGAAGGGAAGGGAGCACCTCAGGCAACATAAGAACGGAGGTCACTGGCTCCTCGAGCCGAAACGAGCACCCCAACGCTCCCCCCACTGCGCGATGCTTGGAGCCTTTGCCAGCCGGCCCTGGAGGGGCCCGTCCCAGAATGAGACTCATGGAAACGGTTAAGAGACCCCTGCCCCAGCCGGAGACCCACGGGGGTCCCCACGTCTTGTACCTCGCGTGCCCCAGCTGGCATCCGGGTCTGCTCCACAAGGGGCCAGATTGGCATTCTGGAAGAGAAAGAGAGAGGGCGGCAGGCGGCAGGTTGTAGGGGCGGGTGGTCGTGCCTTGGTTTTGCCCGGCTCTGGGGGTGGGGGTGAGGGGAGGAAGTTGGGCTCCCCAGAGTCCCCGGCGCCTCGGCTCTGGAAGGGCCACGCTGGGACACACTTGGCGGGTTTGCTCGTGTGCCTCCCCCCTGCCTTCCAGGCCGGCGGGGACCCTGCCTGGCCCAGCTCTCCTGCCCGCCTTTCGAGCCGCGCCTGCACGCCTGCTCCCTGCGCCCCGTGGTCCCCTAGGGGTGCAGCCCAGCCCGGTGCGGAGGCCAGCCCAGGGGGGCCGCTGCTCCCCTCCAGACCCCACGGGCCCCAGGCGCCCAGGAGAGCCAGTTCGTACAGCCCCTGGACAGAGCCCCGCGTGCCTGAGCGGCCGTGACAGAGGATGGCCCTGAGGTGAGGACACTCGAGGGAACAGGGGCCACCGTCGGGTGCCTGCCTCCCCCGTTCACGGCAGTCATCAGCAGACTCCGTGCATCTCCACCACCCATGCTGGGAATTCTCTTTCGTCCGCCTGCCTGAAAAAATCGCCCCACACACCGCTCAGGAGGGTCTGGGCCCCAAAAGCAGGCACCGAGCCCCCGTGTCTCTACCCCCACTCCTGCGCCTGGCATGAACACCACGAGTCAAGCTCTGCCACGGCCTGCGGTCCATGGAGCCGCTGGAAGAACACGGTTCCTGCAGGCCCAGCACCTACTCTGACGCAGCCTCGGCGCTCTGGGCTGGCATTTCTGGGATCCCGTGCAGGGGTTTCAAGGGAGGCCTGCAGTCCCAGGGGAGAGTCGCGCCTCACCCTGCTCGGGCGACCGGGAAAGCGCAGTCAGCAGTACTTCTTGCGGTAGAGGGGCGACATGCAAGGAACAGGTGTAGTTCCAGAGAGTGTGCGGGCAAGGGACGAGCCAGAGAGCCCCGAGCCCAAAGTCCTTCATCCCAAAAAGGGGAGACAAGGGTGGTGAGTCGGGCAAGTACGTAAGTGGAGGGCTGGAGCCAGTCTCTATTTAAAGATTTGGTGTTTTGTTCATCACGAATTTTCTTGCATTGACTTGGGCTTTAAAAAAACATTGCATTAGAACATTATTTACTTTGATTACGGAGCCTTTCGGCAAGTGCCTCACTCGCCTCACCTAGTCTCAGCCCCGGGACCCTGAGCCAGGTGCCCTCACCCCCACCCACTCTCATGACCATCACAGAATAATTCTCCTTAGGGGTTTGCAAGAACAATTTTTGAGACATTTTCTCAGGACGCTGAGAAGCAGCCCCAGGCGTACCTGTCTGGTCTGGAAACCTCTTCCTGCCTAAGGCAAGGCAAACCTGCCCTCTACTCGTCTTCTCCCACCGGGCCGGTCGGTGACGCGGAAGAGACATGCCTCCCCCTAGCGCCCACTGCCCTGCATCACAGGCCACTCAATCTCAGGCGACCGCCACCTTGGGCAGTTAGAGACGCCTTTCCTAGCAGCAAAACCAGCCTCCTCTGGTCTGCCAGTCTCTGAGGCCAGAGAGAGACTCCCAGGAGAGAGGGTAGGGCATCTTTGGAATGGATGCGGGGGCACCAGATCAGTCCAGAGCAGGGGAAGAACAGCCCAGCCCCCTCTTGGTCCTCTAAGTGCCTGAGATCTTCAAGACCTCTCTGGTGCGAGGGAGCCTTGGGGTCACTCCTTAACAGGTGGGGTGGCCAGGGGAGCCCCACAGGCCCAACCCTGGCTGATTCCCTTGCAGTTCTCAGCAGAGGCACTGGAGAATTGAAAAGCAACAGATTATTTACCTCTCCCATTGGTTTGGAGTTTACTAGGTGTCAGTTACCCTACAGACACATTCTGCAATCTTCGCTGCGAGCCTAGGAGGTGGGCATCATCGTCACGGTTTTATGGACGAGGCTCAGAGAGGTTAAGGAACGAGCCCAGGATCATACAGCAAATACACAGAACTGTAAACATTGTAATCCATGTCTTTTGTTTCTCAAAAATGATACTGGAATTGTTAGTAGTAGGAATGAAATTGTGGCTGTTCACGGCCCATTGTTACTGTCTTGCTAAGACTTGCGTTGGAATTTGCCACTTAGTAGCCACCACTGTGGAAGGAAGAAGGGGTAGGAACTTGCTTTTATAACAATTACTCTTGTGGGAACCACTCTATAGAGCTTACAAGAAGATCTCACATGTTTTGACTGTTATTTGTCCTCACAATGATCTTAAGAGGTAAGGATAACTTTTTTAAAGACAGGAAGTAGAGACTCAGGAAATATAAGTGACTTGCCCGAAGACATACAGGTGGCTGGTGGCAGAGCTGGGATTTGAACTCGGGGCTCAGTGCGGCACGTGTTCTGTCCAGAGTTACCGTTGGAAAATATCAGACTTCTTTAATTTATTAAGGTTTTCCTTGTACATAAGGCATTTTTGCAAATGCTTTATGGACATGTGAAAACCTGATTCAAAAGATACAGATTTTTCTCATGTACCTAGTAGATGGTTTACTGTTTGCACTATTAACTGCTCCCTACGTCTTTTATTATTTTCTGTCCACTAGATCCACATGTCTGATTCCAAATGCCACATTCAAATTGCCTCCCATCTTGTACCTTATCAGGGTCCCTGGCACAGCTGTGCTGCTCGGCGCAGTTCCATGTGGGAATGCGACACCTGCTGGATGACGTGTGTCATCACAAACCAGTGTCCCCTCTTTAGGCTATTGCTATAATCTGGCAGGCTCTGTCCTCCAGCAGGAGAATTCAGTCTGTCCCTATTTGCCCTCAGGGTTTTTCTGTCGGTGGCCAGAGGTCGTTCTCTTACTAACAGACCAGGTGGCACATGTTGGGAGCCACGCTGCCTCATCTACAGGAATGCCTGTGACAGGTGGTTACTGCCCTATTTATTCCATAAGAGGAGAGCATCTACCAGGAGTAGGCTCTGTGGCAGGCTGGTTAGCAGGACATTTTAACGAGCTCTGGGACTCAGGGTGGTGGCCCCTTGTGACAAATCCCTCTCGAAGCAAGAACTAGAAACCTCTATCCCCTGATGAACTGATCTTCCTTCCATCGGACGAGAACTACATAGCTGGTCATGTTTGCCCCTTTGCCTTGGCCACCAGGAAGCTCAGAGCTAAGCTTCAGCGGTTTCGCTCATACAATGTTCTTTTGTTTCTGATATAATTCTGATATATGATTTCTTTTAGAGCTTCCTCTTCTGCTCCTTTGTGATTTGGGCTTTGTGGGCTTCCGGTCTCAGTGCACCTGTGTTCTTACTTCGGGCCACCTAGAATCCTTTCTGGAAGTGGAGACACACCAAAAAACAATCTAACAAGTGGCTTGTGAGCACTGTAGGCCACGGACAGCAGTGGGTGACCACGTCTGGGTGCTGAGCATGGTCGCACCATAAAAGGCTGGTCATTCAAAAGCTCAATTATCCGGTCTTCCCACTGAGAAGTAGGCATAAAATTACATAAAAGTCTTAGAAAGTCTGAAAAAACAGGAAAGAATCTTCGCAGAGAAAAAGAACCCCAAAGCAAAGTCTCCAATGCGAGTCACCAATCTCCACATAAGCCACGTGAAAAGCTGAAGATCTTCCCACGAGGATGCAGCCCCCTTTGCCAACCCCCCAGCATCTGCAGGACGCACAGGCCTCCCCCGCCTTGAGGCCGGCAGGAGAAACATTCACAGAGGCTCAGCTCTCGACTCTACAGCTCTAGCCTCTACTCTCACTTGTTCTGGGAGAGGGATTGAAGACGGTGTCCATGATGAAATGTCTGGGTCAGCTGTTCCCAGCTCTTGCGGGGGTGGGGCGTGTGAGGCCGTGGCCTTCTCTGCAGGTGCTGGGGGCATCGATCCAAGTCATTCCAGCATGAACCAAGGAGGGCATCTCCCCAGAGGACACGTGGCCCAGGCACCAATGAAGCAAGGCTAGAAATGCTGGGCATTCCTCCCTGGTCTTCCACGTATCGAGGGACAGTCCAGGACTTGGCTCGAGGGGTGGAACACTGCCGCCCTCATGGGCCCCTGAGTCCCAGAACAGCTGTTCCAGGTACGCAGAGAACATTCTGGACCGTTTCCCCACCGCCCCTCAGGACCCCTAACCCTGAGCCCAAGGACTGACAATTCCTGGTGCTGTGGGGGTCCCGTGGACGTCCTCCTGCCCCCCGTCCCGTGCCTACCCGCTGTCCACTGAAGATGAAGGGTGCAGAAATCCTTAGAAGAAAATCGAGAGGAGCATGCGGCATGCACGCCCTGACTCGGCCCATTCCAGAATTGGAAGTGAGATTAGTGGGAAGGGGGCTTCACTAGAGTCAAACCATGCAGAGGTGCCTGGGCCCCGGACGGGCACAACGGCAGGTCGGACAGGGCCCGAGGAAGACGAACAAGGCTGAGAAAACGCCTGCCTCATCCCTGTTCTTAGACGGGTCCCTGTGGCTGGGCCCCTGGATGCGAGGTGTGCCCTGGGGGCTGCAGAAGGCTGTCCCGGGCATTACACACTTACTGCTGAGAACCCTGCCGTGCAACACACGGGGGTTCGACCTCTGAGCACCTTCTCCAGCGGAACGACTCGCCCCGGTTTCAGACAGCAGAGAGGCTGCCTGAGAGGGGGTGTCCTGGGGCTGTGTGTGTGTGTGGGGGGCTCTGGTGCCATCCCACCCGCCCCACCCCGGGGGGCCTCACTGGGGACTAGTGAAGCTGTGGGAACAGTGACAGAAAGTCGCCCAGCCCCTCCGTGGGGCCAAGTCGGGCACCAAACTCTCTGGGCTCACATTCCAATGTCCTGGATTGGGAAGTCCGGCCAGCCTTTAGCTGGGAGCAGCCAGAGAAAGCCAGCTACGGAGTGTGGGACCCAGGGATAATTACGGGGCAAGTGGCAGTACTAGGGGTGACAGGTAATAGCCACAGATGTTAAAGGTACCGTTCGTGGTGACCGTCGTGAGGGGCCGGGGCACCTCAGGAAGGAAGTGGATCCGTGGCTCACGTTGCTCCCCAAGTAGCTGATCCTTTAAGCCCCTTATTAGGCTCCGGGTCACAGAAGAAGGATGAGGGTCAGAAGGGGCCTCAGGGGGTCGGAATACTCTGCGTGGCCCTGTCTCCCGCTCCCCACCACACTGAGGTCTCCTTGGGAGCTGGGGCTGGGGTTAGACGGGAGGAGGGGAGGGTGTCCCAGTTCTGGTCTGGCCCTGGTCTGCAGAAGCACCAGCACAGCCCCTGGGGCAGGGGCGGGGGTGGGGGGCACAGGCAGAGGCAGTGGGCGAGAGGGGTCCCCGGGCCCCTCCTTCCGGCTGTGTGGTCAAGAGGCTGTGGGCACCACGCTCAGGCTCCCGGCGGGTGATGGTTAGTATACCGCGAGCCAGGGAGGGGTCGAGTACCTACCCGGTGGTCCAAGCCATTCTTTCCGTGTCCTGGGAGAGGGTCAGATTTGGAATAGGGGAATCCTGAAACAGACACAGCACAGCTCTGTCACGCACGCACAGAGGCCGGGCCCCGGCCAGAGGGGCTGAGTTCGTGACACCCAGAGGGGCCCCCGAAGATCACGCCCTGCCTCCGTCATGACCTCTGTCCCCAGGGTGCTGGCTGAGGAAGAAGCCGGCAAGGGCGTGATGCCCCTGAGCCCGCCTAGGACCCCGGGAACACCGTGGCACCCTCTTGGGCACCTGTGTTCTCCGGCAGCCTCAGGTCTTGGCATCACCTGTCACCTAGGCCGAGCTCCTCACCCAGCAGAGCTGGAGAGCTGGGACAGGGGCAGGAAGGAAACCCCGTGGGGGGTTAGGGCTGTGCCATCCTGTGCCAGGGTCGGCTCACGGGGGCCTGCCACCAACCAAAGGCGGCATAGGAAGTATTTTTTATTTTTTAAAATGATCTTGAGCTACTTGCCATTGGGGGATTTCACATTAAGATCCTAACTTCTGGCTTCTCTTGAAACAAAAAAGGCTGGTCTGAGACCATGGGGATCCCGCAGCTGACCCAGCTCTGCCGCTCACGTCCCTGGCTGCCCTGCATGGGCCCTGGGCTTTGAGGTCTCCCGGTTAACCTCTGCAACGGGTCTGGAGAGGGTGGCACAGAGGCTTTCTGGTATGGCCTCCTGGCTCAGGGGCAGGACACGCGGCAGAGCCTAGCCCCCCGGAGGGGCAGGATGCCGCCTCCCCTGGAGGGAGCTCCGGGGCTCCTTGCTCCCAGCACTGGCTGGCCACCAGCAGCTCGGCAACAACACATAGCACCAAATGCCGGCACCCACCACGGGGGCCAGCGGGCTGCCTGTCAGGGTGTTCACAAGGCCGTGTGCGTCCATGCGACCAAGCACCGAGCCTCCAGAGGCGAGGTGGGTGCCACGCACAGAACTGCCCACCCAACCCTTCCAGGAGGGCCAGACGGAGGCTCATCCAGATGCCTTTCATCTCAGGGGGTCCTCACGAACTCTGGGGACGGAGACGACATTCTGCATGGCTCACGTGTGGACCCGGGAAACCTATCCTGGGCACATGTTTGCCCCCATGCGGCCTGTCGGAAGGTCCCGGATGGGGGTCAGAAAGGGCCTTTTGCCACATCAAGGTCAGGGTTCTCAAACTTCTTTTAACAAAGGCACCCTCTTGCCACACGAGAGTTTATGTAAACTCCGACCTATGAAAGACGGGGGCAGGGGAGCGGGACACAGAAGAGGGGCGAGGGGCCAGACCTGCTGTGCTGCCCCTGTTCCTCCCAGCCTCTCCGAAGCCTCCCATTCTATAGAGGGGGAATTGAGGCCCTGAGTCAGGGGGTCTGCCTGAGGTCACCCAGCCCCGGGATGCCAAACAAGGCCCCCTGACTCACAGTCCTGGGGTCCCTCCTAATTTACACACAGAGTCAGGCACATTCCGCAACGTGAGGCTGTGCGGTTGAGGACCTGAGGGACCCTCCACTGAGACACAGGGGCTCCCGATCGACCAAAGATGCTAGAGCAGTGGTTCTCAAAGTGGGGTCCCCAACTAGCGGCATCAGGCTCATCGGGAACTGGTTAGAGAGGCAAATTCTCAGGGCCCACCCCCGATTTGCTGCATTGGATTCTGGGCTGGGGTCCCATGAGCTGTGGTAGACAAGCTGCCCTCTTGGACATTCTGATGCACACGAAGGTTTGGGGCCTTGAGAACAGCAGTACCCTCACCTCTGTCCTGTGCCCGGAGGCACCGTTGTCACCCGGATGGCTGTCACAGGGCCCCGTGCTCAGGCTGCCACCTGCGGTCTCCGCGTCTGACCGCTTCGCATGAAGCACACAGACCCTACTCCACGGAGCTGTTCTCCTGACTTTCCAACGACAATTGTCCTGGGTGTCCCTTCTACCTACCTTGAGCTCCCACATCACATAACATCACAAATTCTGCCTCAACCATCAGACAGGATTTCATAACCTCGTGGAAAGGAGAAGGGTCGATGATATTCGCCCCGTTTTTACCTCTTTGATATCCTCTCCATTCTAAAGCCCCGAGGCTTCTCTTACCATGTCCTCCTCTCTGCTTGAACACCTGCTGCCTGCGATTCTTTAAACAACCTCTACTCGTGAAAAATGCTTAGCGTTGAGAATTTCTTCATTTCCCATTCATTCCCGCGGGATAGGCTCCCCTGGTGCAGAATTCGTGTCGATGGCAACCGTCCTTCGGCACACGGAAAGCACCCCCTTTCCGCTGGCCCCGCGGTTTCTGCAGAGAAACCTGCTGTCTCCAGTTGGCCTTGTCCTCCAGGGAGTCTGTCTTCTGTTGTGGATGCTCTCAAGACCTGCCATCCTCTGTCTTCAGATTTTAGAGGTTCAGTTATCGTCGTAACTGGTTTTGGCATGAACTCCTTTGGACTTGTCCTATTTGGGGTTCTTGTAGTTTCCTGAACCTGTAGGTTTAGGTCTTTGACCACCTTTTGGAAGTGTTTAGCCATATCTTTGGACGCTTTTTCCAGCCCACTCTCTTCTCTCCTTCCAGGACTCCACCGCGACAGATGTTGCCCCACAGACCTCTGAGGCCCCGTTCATCTTTTCACTGCTGTTTTCCCTCTGTCGCTCAGACTGGATCATTTCTGCTGCTCCATGTACGGGACGGCTGACTGCTCTGCCGTATTCTGCTACGCTGTTTCTGAATCCATCGGTGACTTTTTAATTTGGGTTATTTTATCTTTCAGTTCTATAGTTTCCATTTGATTCTCTTTTTTGGGGGGGGGTGGGTAATGCCTATTTCTTTGCTGAAATTTCTTTCTTTTCGGGTATTTGTTTGCTGAAGCATTTTTCGGGTGGCTGCCTTAAACATCCTCGTCCGGGAACCCCGACATCCGGTTCTTAGTGTCGCATCTCTCTCGTCTGCCGGTTCAAATCGTTATCTTCATGGCTCCTGGTGTGGGGGAGTAATCCTCCATATCGTCTCCCGGACGAGACGTCTGGGGACACCGCATCCTGGTAGAGCCTTCTACTGAAGGAGCTGCCGCCTGCTTGAGTTGGCACATGGGGCCTGGTGTGTTACGGCCTGTGATTCTGAGGACAGGCTGGTTTTCAGAACATGCTCTTCTGGTCTGCCGAGCCCGGCTGGGGTTCCCGGGACCAGCCGTGCTTCCCCCGTTGCTCTGTGCCCCGAGGTGGGGGTGTGAGGCACCAGCTGCGGTGGAGAGGGTCTCCCGGGCCCACCCTCCAGGCTGCCCATAGGCCTCCTGTTTCGTATCTGCCGGTGAGGCTTGGGGAGGAAGATGCCTACCTGGCCGCCTGGTGCCACTTCATGGGAGGCGGGGGACATGGCTCCTGTGTTTTTCCTCAAGTCCTGGGGTCCTTAGCCAGCCCACCTTCCTCTTTCCACCCTTGAGATTTCTATGATGTGTCTGCTCTACTGTTTTGGGGGTGGGGTGGGGTTATACTTAATGCGGATGAGCAGGGAGAGAGGAGGCTCCATTATCTGCCCCCCGCCACCCCCAGCTGCCATGTGGACCCATCACACTTGGCCTCTCTGGGGCTGGGATGAGCCATCAGTAGACTCTAAAGGTCCCAGTGACCCCCCCGCCACCACCCATGCAGCTAGGTTTGATAGCCACTGGCTTAAAAAGTCCCTTCGCACGTGCAGAGACTTTACCTGAAACTCGTAGGCCTCTGCATGACACAGGACCTCCTTTTACAGGTAAGGAAGCTGAGGCCCCGTGAGAATAATGGCCCCTACAAGGTCAACGTCTGCTCACGAAGAGGATAAAACGAGGGCCTAGGACTTCTGGCTTCGGGAACCGGTGGACCCATCTGCGCCAGCATCTCTGCACCCCTGTGGGTTGCAGGTGTGGGCTTCTGGGCACCTGCGTGTCGGATGGCATCAGGTGGCCGCGAGAGCGTGCGCTGCCTGTGTGCACGGTGAGAAGGCAGGTCTGCTGGACCTGGGGCGAGGCGGCAGCTGGCCCACTGCGAGTCCCATCAGCCCTGCAAGGGCTGGACACCAGCCATCCTCATGTCCGGGCTCAGCGCAGACAGGCTCCCCTGCCGCCTCCTCTCAGAAGCCCACCTGTGGTAGCCTTGTCTCGGCATTCTGAGCACTGTCTCCTTGGGTCTGTAGCTCTTCTGGGCTGGCTGGTCAGAGGTTAGGGGATCTGCTGGACATGCAAGGAGAGGCCCAGCTGCCGCTGGAGACAAGCAGCTCGTCACCGCCCCCAGGGATGCTCTGTGCACAACTGCTCAGCAAGGCACTTCCTTGGGCGCATCTTCCACCAACGCCCGGACAAGGAACTTGGCAGCCGCATGGCCCTGCAGGGGTTTGGGTCCAGGAGGGGGCTGGAACTGCCTTCAGCCCTGAGTGCCTATGAGCAGGAGGCCCTAGGATGACCCAAGCTCCAGGCTTCCGGAAGCAAGCAAGACGGGCTCACCGCAACCAGGCCTGTGGACTTAACCACGCTCTGCCGTGATATCCCCCAAGGCTCAGGAGATAGGATGCCGGAGTGCTCACACGTGAGCCCCAAAGCCCAGATGCTTCCTGCCAGGAGGCCTTTTACACATGAGGCCATTTTAAACAGACAACTTTGCTCTTATGCCCGAAGTCACACAGCAAGTGACAAGCTGGGATTCAAGCGCCAGTGGACCAGCACCCAGACCTGGCGCTCTCTCTGCTGGCCCATCCTGTGATCTCGTGGACACTGTTGCTGTGTCAGCAGCGGTCACTGTCATCCCCTCCACCCCACCAGGAGCAATGCCGCTTCCCACGAAGGGAGGATGGTGCTGCTCTGAGGAGGCCCAGCTCCACCAGTGCTCTGGGGAGCACTCACCGAGAAGCTGCCACATGCAGGTGAGGGAGGCATGGGGACATCCTCATGGGACCCTGCTCCCCAGGGGCTAACAGTCCACAGGGGAGAAAGGACACAGAGGGTTATGAGGAGCCCCCGGGCCTGGGTTGAGGAAGGGGAGAGAGCTTCCAGCTGGGTGGGGGTATCTCAAGAAGGCAGATTTGGAGGGGAGCAGAGG